TCCGTATGTAACTACTACTAACTAACTAACTAACTAACTAACTAACTAACTAACTAACTACTAACGAACTACTAACTAACTAACTTAACTAACTAACTACTAACTAACTAACTAACTAACTACTAACTACTAACTCTAACTAAATAACTAACTAACTAACAACTAACTTAACTAACTAACTAACTAACTAACTAACTAACTAACTAACTAACTAACTAACTAACTAACTAACTACTAACTACTAACTAACTAACTAACTACTAACTAACTAACTAACTAACTAACTAACTAACTAACTAACTAACTAACTACTAACTAACTAACTAACTAACTAACTAACTAACTAACTAACTAACTAACTAACTAACTAACTAACTAACTAACTAACTAACTAACTAACTAACTAACTAACTAACTAACTAACTAACTAACTAACTAACTAACTAACTAACTAACTACTAACTAACTAACTAACTAACTAACTAACTAACTAACTAACTAACTAACTAACTACTAACTAACTAACTAACTAACTAACTAACTAACTAACTAACTAACTAACTAACTAACTAACTAACTAACTAACTAACTAACTAACTAAACTACACTAACCTAACTACTAACTAACTAACTAACTAACTAACTAACTAACTAACTAACTAACTAACTAACTAACTAACTAACTACTAACTAACTAACTAACTAACTATCTAACTAACTATCTAACTAACTAACTAAATATAATTAGTCAATATTAAGGGTATTTTAAAGAACGGCAAATTTCTGACCACTCCGTTGATACTCCAGCTATCGTGTTTTTAAACTCGATGACAATAAAATAACTTAATTATCAAGTGTCCATTCATTGTCTGAATTGCAAACTAACTATAAATTATAATATTTAACCTTTGTCATAAAATATTATAAATCTTTTATTTTAATGACCCTTAATTAATTTAATCAATTGGCCACTTGTCCTCACATTACCCTTACAATTGCTAATTAAATCAATTTTCTCTATTTAATAAATTAAAAAATAAAAATCCACGGAATAGATTTGCATAAATTAAATATTTATTAATAAAAATCAATTACTTTTTTTTTTGTTTTTTGGTTAATTAACAATAATTTGGTTTTGAACTATAGAAAGAAGAGAATATTTAAATAACAGTTTTTGTTACATAAACCATTAGCATTTAGCTTTTTTTTTGTAAATATTTATGCACAATCAAGAGTAAGTATAAAAAATTTTTTAATTTACTTAATTTTTGTCAATTTACTCTTAAAAATATTTCTATTTTATTATATAATTTTTTTTTCTTGTTTAAGCAATCAAAAGTTTTTTATAAAATGGTAAAAATTTATAAAACTTTAAACAAAAACTTAAACCACAACAATAAAAAATAACTTTTTTAATAACTACATACATATACATATATGTATGTATGTGTAAGTATTAGTAATATTATGTTTAACAACTATTAAATATTTTTCTCTTTGAGATACATATACATATGTATTTATTTACCAACTTTTTTAAATAATTTTAATTTAAGGTTAACCTTTGTATTTACATTTCTTAAATTTCATTTGAAATTTAAAGCATTTCAAGTTTAAAGTTCTATGAAATATTTAATGCCAGAAAATTTAACTTAATATAAAATAAACTTATGGTTATTTAAATGTGTATATATATTTCATTTGTGAAATTGTTTATTTATATACATTTTATATTAACACTTTATAAATTATTATATAAATTTCAACAATAATTTTTAGTTGTATAAACTTTAAATATTTCTTAAAATATATTATGCACTTGAATTTATTTACATATATAGATTTAGATTTTGAGGAAGATTTCATATAGATTGGTAATTTTTTAAAAAGTTGTTAATACAAATCTCAAATCAAAAAGTCTTCTAAATCGGATTATGCCAAATTAAAATTAATTTTAAAAAAATATATGTAGTTTGGTCTCTAGAATAAAAATCTGTTGCCCTGTATCGGTATTGTCAACTACGCAAAATATTTTTTTTGGAAATTTCACGTTTGGGCATAAAACAGATATATGGACAGACGGACGGACAGATAATATGACGCATCTAGATTGTCTCTTTGATCCTATAATAACCCACAATTAATATATGCTGATGTCCCCGCCGATAATGAAAAACTTGTTCATTCTGAGATAAATTTTTTGTTCTATTTGGTCAATATTTGGTGAGCTGGATAACAAAAATATACGCAATTTTGGTAACATATGAAGGGTCTTCAGAATGCACTTTCAATGCCATTTATGTGCGATTACAAAAGCATTCAAAAAATTTGTTTCTGAAATTTTTTGGGTTTTAAAATGTTTACATAGAAGTTTTGAATGTAAATAACACAGGCCGATCAATTTTTAACCCTAAGACTAAAGTATACTTTTATATACAAAAGGATTGAGCTAAGTTGCATCCGATTGTGGCCTCAGAATTTGTCCACCACATCTGGGACTCGAGATATCGTGTCCTGAAGTTGGAAACAGCACCATTTGTCCTTTGCCCTTTTTGAGACGTTATAACAGTACCAACAGCACTTTATGTATAAAATGTTGTATACCATCTGAAAGTCCATTTGTCCATTCTGTCAGCTTTAAAATAAAGACATTATATCTAATATATCTTCTTTGTTCTTCGGGATATATTCACCTTTGGCTTTAAAACACAACTATCATACACTGGGTGCTTCGCTACCCTAACAAAAATTAAATACATACAAAATTTTCTATACTTTTATAGAAAATTAAGATTGATTTAAAAATTTTTAATGTTTCAGCTTTTTACGTTCAATATCACATAAATAAATTCGCATTCAGGAAGAAGCTTTTATTTTTAGTTTCATTCGTTTAGCTTCCACATTATAAAAAATTTTGAAATTAATATTTGAAAAAAAGTACTACAAAATACCTCTTATTTAATGAAAAATTTTATGTTTCTGTGTTCAATATTATAGACAATTCAAAAAATATAATTTGATGAATGAAAAAGTACCAAAAGTCCCTTTCAGTAGATTTTCATTCACTAAGGTCCCTATATTTTAAATTTTATATTTCTATGTTCAATATCGTAAAAATATCAAAAAGTACCATCGGATAAATGAAAAAGTACAAAAGTCCCTCTCAATAAATTCTCATTTAATAAGGATGTGTTCCGGTTAACCATTATTATGAAACCAAAAGGTACCATTTGAAGAATGGAAAAGTACCAAAGAGTACCCACTTACAGAATATTATTCAGTCAAGACCGGTTGAAAAAGTACTAAAAAGTACTAAAAAGTTCTCTTTTAAAGAATCTTATTCAATGAGGACCGTGTATGTTTAATAATCATGTGTTTTGAATTCATTTTATAAAACACACAGAGTATCATTTGAATAAAGAAAAAGTACCAAAAGTGGAATAAATTCTACCTTAGTGGAAAGTTCTAATAAAAATACTTTTTTGAGAATTAAGTTTACAAAATGTTCCGTATTTAAATCTATATATTACAGATAAAACTCAAACGATTCAAATCTGCATTCTTTTGTTCCAGAAAAATTGTGCTTTCAAAAGGGTACCAAACAGTTAACTCGAATTTGGTCCTATATAGGCCTTAGTACTCGAATTCCAAAATAATATACTAATAGCTTATTTTATGTGAGTAAATAAACTAAATTTTCAAATTTTATAAAAATTGGCTCAATGAGTTTGAATAAAATTAAATTTCCCGTTTTTCCCCATTTTGGTACTTTTTTCCCCAGTGAAATGGCAAACATTTGGTTTCAATAAATATTACAGAGTTAGTCCGTAATTTAATAGGAATACTTCAATAAAAAAATACTTGAAAAGAAAAAGTTTTCTTAATGTGCTAAAAAAAAGTACAGTTTTCTCCCTTTTACACCCAAAAAGGGCAGAATTTTATAAGAAGAACAGGTGTCTCCCAATTTTGGGAAATGTATTCAAAATTTTTACAAAAAAGTTATTTTGTTTATTAGTTAAAAAGTTTTAAAGGTCCAAAAAAGGTACCAAAATCACTTTTGTTACACATTTTCAGATATAGATATAGATATATGTGCATTTAAAATTTTTCTTGTATCACTAATAATATCACCAAAAACACGTCTACTGTCAAAATTTCATGATTTTAGGTTCAGCCGTAGGTTCAGTAACGCTAATCTTTTATATATATTGATAAATTGTCAAAAACTGAATTTGTTCATACATTTCGCCTTTATTTTACAAAAAACTTATATATTCCTTTGAACTGTTTAAAAATCTGCTGTAATTGCTGAGAATCATCCATTGAAGTTGACGGACGGACGGACGGACGGGTATAAATGCCATAAATATAACGAAAACCATGAGTTATCGAGCCTTAGGTAAAGATATCTCGCAGAAGAATGATGTATGTCAAATGTTAAAGCTTTATCTTTAAGTTGACACAATGGACATTTATTGACATGGCGCTGTTATAAAGTCTCAAAAAGGGCCAAAAATGGAATTTTTTCAAACTTCAGTACATTATATCGCAAATCTAAGATGTTATTGAAAAAGCCAGATTCGGATTTACCGCAGTTCAATCCTTTAGAAAATGTTAACATTGTCCCAGAGTATAGTTTTAGCTTTTAAATGCTATGTAATTTTAAAGGATCAGAGTTAATTTTTCAAGATCAGAGTTCCAGGAATTGAAATGTAAAAGAACTCAAGAGATATTGAAAAGTATGTTCAAGTACACATTTTACAGAAGGGCTTCTTCTAAATCTTAATAAAACCTCATTTTCGTTTATTGTATGAAATGTTTTCCGAAATATAATCGCTCATTTTCAAAAAAAAATCTTTTCCAAAATCTCTTCTCTATACGAAAACCTCCATACAAGTCAATAACAAAAATTAACATTATTCTGCTTAGTAATGTTTAAATTTTTACTTAAATTCTAGTAGAGAAAATATTATTATTAAATATATAAATTTCTTAATTACAATGAGACTTCTCTAATGTACACAATAAGTCATCATAATCATCATCACTTCTATATACTTCGGCCAGGCCATGTGCGCTAGACCAATGTACCCAATTGACTTATATCTACAGTATTCATGGCCATTATAGAGGGTGAGGGAGAAGCTGAGGTGGGTGGTTGTGAGGCTTTCAATATGGATACTGTTGCTGCTACTGGTACTGCTACAGATGATGACGTTAGTGCTGATGATGACGATGGTGATGTTGTAAAATTAGAAGAAGATGATGGAGCAGAGAAGGGTGAAGGTTGTTGTACTAAAACAATATTTGTAGCTGGTATTTGGTGAAAATTTTGTGGCCTTGAGGTTAGAAATGTAGATGCCATTGGCATGTGTTGTTGATGTTGCTGTAGAATATGTTGAAATTGTTGTTTAGGGAATGCACTTGGTTGTGGCGGTGGTGGAGGTGGTAGTTGTGGTAATAAAGATGTTGCTGGTGGTGTTGTTGTTGTTGCTACTGCTGTTGCTGTTGTTGTTTGTGTATGAAACATTTGTTTCTTAATGGTTTTGGCATTTTGTACATGTAATGAGGACAACATATTTTTATCAATAAACATACATGACGTTGACATTGTACTGTTAGATAATGCCGCTTCACTGTGCAAAGTGTTTGCTGTAACTGCTGTTGACATTATGGGGGGAGTTGCTAGTTGTTCTTGTTGTTGTTGCTGCTGCTGATGTTCTAGCTGATTATCTGTAGTTGTAATAGTAACATTACGATTCGTTGCATTTGAAGTACCATTTATGGAATTTGCTCTTATTTCATTTGTAAGTCTTTGATTATGTTGCTGTTGTTGCTGTTTTATTAGAGGAAATGCTGTTGTTTTCATATTTACTCTTGCAGGATTATTAGCCACGGTTACAGCTTGTTTTGGCTCCAACTGCTCCTTGTTGTTAGAGCATAATTGTATACTAGGTTTGGCTATAATCTTTTCTAATTTTATTACCTCTTCTTTTGATTTAATGTTATTTAAGGATAATTTTTGTATATCTATAGATTTCTCCAAGTTAGTGAGTATAGTGTTGGTATCATTTCTAAGCGGATTTGTTAAGTCTTTTGTTATAGTCTTGGTATCCGCTTGTCTTTGAGTAGTCTGCTTTATATCTTGTGGCGAATCGTTGATATCCTTTTCCTGTTGCTCCTGCAAATACTCTATACTAAGCCGTTCTAAAATAAGCAATTTCTTTTGTAATTGTTCATTTGTTTGCATCAGGTTAGCTTCAACTTTACGTATATCCCCACACTGTAGAGCCAAATTATTATCTAGCTTTTCAATTTCCATTTGTGCCTCTCGTTGTGTCTGTTGGGCCATTCTTAGCTGATGTTTACGTACCTTGCCATGCAATTTGGCAGCCAGCTCTTCCTCCTTTTGTAGTTGTTTATTTAGAGTGTAGATTTTTTCCAACCACAATATTTGCATTTCAATTTCCTGTTCATTGTCCTTGAGGTGATGCTTACCATCTATAGCATTCAATTCATGCTGTTGATGGTTATGTTGTTGTTGTTGTTGTTTATCCACCTTTTCTTTATCTTTATTTTTATTTGTTTTTAAATTAAAATCCTTTGCCGTAGTTTTCTCATCCATTGTTGATTTTTCTTTGTGTCGTTTCTTTTTCTTTTCTTTTTTCACTTCCTTATCCTTGAGTTTATGTTTTGCCATCATATTAAATGCCTGCGCTGCTGATGGTATATTATCGGTTATAGCTCCAGCAGCTAACGTTGCTCCTGCCGGCATAATTGTTGCCCTAGGAGTTGTTGTTGTTGTTGTTTGTAGCATTGCTGGTATTGTGGCTGCTCGATGATATGGTTCATCTGCATAAAAAATATAAGAAAATTGGGACATAATTAAGAGACAAAAGAAAATGTTTAAGGTGTTCAAGATTTTTGTTAAATTAAGATTAAGCCAAAAAACACAATAGAGGTTATTGTTTGCTTAGTGTAAACGAACTTTTGTCACTCTGTAGCTAAGAATTAAGTATTTTTTAGGTTTTATTATAAAAAATATAGATGGGTATGTGAACATTCAGAAACTCAAAACTTTCACCGACTCCATAAAGTGAAATATCAAATATTTTCTTAAGATTAAATATAATTTAATTTGATACATTTTATAATAATATTCCAGACATTCCAAGGAATGTTGATACCGAATATTATCGAAATCAATTTAAGAGTTTAGAAGTTATAAACGAGTGAATATTTTAAGGTTAGGGAGAAAAATTTTCGTATTTATGTATTAATAAGTAAAATTTTCATATAAAATTGTTTGTTTTAGAAACACAAGTTAACATATATAAAATTTTTAAAATTGCTCGAAAAGAAACCAAGTTATTAACAAAACTTTTTAAAATTTTGAACCAAAATTTCCGTGACTTTTTTTTAAATTTTTAATAATAACTAATTTATAAAAATATTAAATTGTTTCCCTAACAACAATTACTTTCAATTAAATAATTTTCCTTTAAACAAAATAACAAATATTTATTTAAACTTCAGGGCATTTAAAACCATAGTTTATACTTATTTATTTCGTTATATGCTTTGCTTATATACAAAAGTATTTAAAAACACAAAATACCATTCATTTCACAAAAAAATCATAACAACTTAAAAAAATTCCTTTACAATAAAAAATTCTTTATAAAGTCTTATCTTACCACATTTTACAAAAAAAAAAGCAAGTAAAATCCCTCAACATTTTAAATGGTTGAGATTTAAAAAATTCAATAGAATACAATTTAAATATTTCTGATTCTCTTATGTATCTTTTTTTATTTCTTGCAGAACACAAGGAATTAAACAGAATCAATATTACTGAAGTGGGGGAACATTTTTTTTATAAAAATCTCAAAAATACAAGCACCAGTGAATGGAAGAAAAAACGGAAAAATTTGTTGAACAAAAATTAACAATGGCATAAATTAATGCCACTTAACTTAACTGTAGTTTAAATAAAACATTGTTTATTTTGTAGAGAATTCTTGAGAGTTGAAAAGAAACTGTTTTTATCAAAAATTTGTTAAGCTTGATTAGAAATTCACACATTTTCAAGGTTTTGATTTTTTTTTTTTTTAAGAGATTAAGTATTTGAAAAATTTAAATTTTGAAAACTATATACATATCAGTTAGGAACACAAAAAAACTCATCTTTACTAAATTTGATTCCTTTAACATTTAATTCCTTTTACATTTTAATTCCTTTAACATTTTAGTTCTTAAAATATTTTTAAAATGATTTTAAACCACTGTCGAACTAAATCTGTACAATTTCCTATGTCACCGTAGCGTATGAGTGTTATGTTATTTTATGGAAATTTTTAGTACTCATACTCGCAATTTTAATGCAGAAAAAATACGGAAATATAAAAAGTGTATTTTTTTCTAAACAGCCAATTTTATTGACATTGAATCAATTTCCGTTTTTACATGTAATTCTTACACGAGTATAAAATATGTAGGTAATATTTTGGGAAATTGAAATCTAAACTGAGATAATATTAAACATTTTTCCATAAAATTCGCATTTCATTCATAAACAGTTTCCCATACCTTTGACACAAATATTAAATAAATTCAAAACAACAAACACAAATTGTTGTTGTTTCCAGTGGTTTACTGTTTATTATAAACAAACTAACACAAAGTACTCAAAAACAAACACAATCTGAAGGTTGTTGTTGTTGCTTTAGGATTTTTGCTTAAATCTCCGTTATTTATGGACTGATTTTGCTGATTTTCAATAGGAAACTTCTCGAAAGCATGTTAGAAAGAATTATTGAAGATATATATTCCAAAGGTATCAGGAGTCTTCAGAAAATTTATTTTAACTGACATACAGACAGACACGAATGTCGAGAGTTTAACGTGAACACCTGCCATGACGGCCTAATTTCACGGTGGTCTTTTTCATCCACTGGGTAGACTACACACTGTCTACCACCCGCCCTGAATCCTTCTATGAAGAACTGAGGTGGCCATGTACAAGCACTTTGCTGAAGAACTCGAGCTATCTAATCTCTTGCCATAGTAGCCCCGTTGCGAAATGGCAGGCATAATACAAACCCCGAAAAGGAAAAAGCAATCATTGGTCTAAATTCAATAGAAGGGGCGACAAACCCCATCATTAGGTGAAATCAATCTTCCGGTATACCGGAAGGTGACCAGCCTTATGATATCATGCAAGATTGCATTATTTAAAATGCAACTAATGACCCATTCCAGTGCATTCCTTAACATCTTAAAGCCTGCGCAACCACACTACCGAGATGGCTCTGTTGGTTTGGCAACAGCACCTAGAGACGCATTAGGTAGCCCGAAATAACCAGCCAATAAATCAGGATCCCTCTGTATGTCAGATAATATGACAAAGGATGTAGAAATTTCCAAAGTCAATTCGAACCCAATAATTACCCCGACGAATTGAGGGAACGCACCTAAACCGTATGTCGCGTATCATGAAACAGTATGAATCCTGCTGAGATGGCAACAACATCGAGAACTTTCCTGAAGTAAAAGGTCTACTAAATCAGTACTAGTCTCCTGTACTAGAGGAGACTTTCCCGATCGTTAACCAATTACATCAGTTCTATTCTCAGACCACAAAGAAGGATCTACGGAATGACAGGCAACTACCAGGTATCAACCTGAAAATTCCCCAACATATACTAGCGCCCTACTACGCGAAGAGTAAGAGATACTCAACGGATTCAGGAATCCATCATAAGTTGCTTTGCACATCACCTAGTGACATCTGTTGAGATGGCAATGCCACCGGAGAGAGAATTCAGACATATTTGGCATTTGGATATATCAGTCCTTAAACCAACATTCTATCTCCGCAAATTTGGCTATAAACCTCAGCCACTACAATTTTGAAGATAATTTGATAAAATTTATAAATTCTCGGACTATGTCAGATATAAAAGCAAAACCTACACACATCCCTACAGGGATCAATCAAACACATTCCTCTAAACCTTTCCTCTCTATAAATTTAATACTATTTATGGTTATTGAATTTCACCTTAAAAGATACTTGTATTATTGCACTTTAACAAAATCAGCTATAAAAAACCTACCTTTATTGCTATTAAGATAAACAAAAAAAGTCTCAAGGCTAAAAGAAAAATTTGTCAGCATTAAGTTTGTCTAACAGATTTTATGCGTATTTTTTTAACATATAGACAAGACTTCCATGAAGAATATTTTATTCCTTTATTATATGTATTCATAAACATAAGTGTATACAATAACAAAAATAATAATAAAAATTCCTATCTATACAAAGACAAAATTTGATTCAGTAAAAATAAAATTTTAATAAAATTGCAATAAAAAATATTGAATGAAAATTCTCTTAAGACATTTTAACATGCTAATTTTAATATAAAGTGAATAAATAAGGAAGTAGCAACACGCATAACTTCCGTAAAAAGCTTTGTTAATTTTAATCTTAAATTTACTCACTCCTCTACTAACGAGGCATCTAACAAAATCATCTGTTTAAAAAGGAAGCTTCCATAATGGAATATTTCGATCATAAAAAAAGCCTAAAATAAAATTTCTCTTTTGAAAGATATAATAACAGTTGTGTTACTTTACACCTTAATGTTCTTTTTATGATTTTTTTTATAACAATTTTTGATGAAAAACAGGGAATTCTTACAACACACCTGAAGAGATTTATTTATGTTGTTTGAAGACATCAACAAATATCCTTGTAGGTATTTTATTGATAAGATTTATTTTATGTAAAATTTCTTTCATTTTTTTTTTAATTTATTAATCTTACACACACAAGTACTGAAAGAAATTAACCGATAAAAATTTTTAGTTACATCATTTTATTTCTTAAAATTTTGTATTTTTCTGACATAATTATAAAATTGACACCGTTTAAGTTAAAAAGGTCTCAAATATATTAGTTTTGTTTAAACCTAAAACATCTTTAAATTTGCTGAATTCCTTGTAATAACAAATAATATGATATAAGTCCTTTTTACCTTAACCCAATAATATGTTTTAAATGTCTATAGTAATGTGGTTCATTTTAACGATTGTAAATATTTTTATAGGACCTAAACAAACACTGTCGCCAGAAAAAAAAGACTAAAAATAAAATGGGTTAACAATAATAAGAAAGAAGTAAATAAATAAAAAGTGGTTTTAAGGTAAAATGTTTACAATGTATTTTTCCTACATTGATCTTTTATAAGAATAGATATAGACTTTATTGTAACTGTTTGCTTTTTATGTTAAAGAAAATGTTTTCTGATTTCTTAAATAAGTATATGATTGTGTTACAAAAGAAGGGTGTTTTATTCAAAAGTTTTCCCAAAAGTAGACCGTTTTCTAAGGAACACTGCTTCTTCATACAGATGTCTGTTTTCCATAGAAATAATCTTCTTAAGGAGCACTATTTCTCAATGGAAAAAGTCTTCCTGAGAATGACTATTTTCCCACAGGAAGACTGTTTTCCTATAGAAAAAGTCTCTTAAGACTGTTTTCCTATAGTAAAAGTCTTCCTAAGGAAGACGTTTTCTTAGAGAAAAATTGTTGCTAAGGAAAACTGTTTTCCTATAGAAAAAGTCTTCCTAAGGAAGACTGTTTTCATATAGAAAAAGTCTTCCTAAGAAAGACATTTTTCCTATAGAAAAAGTCTTCCTAAGGAAGACTGTTTTCCTATAGAAAAAGTCTTCCTAAGAAAGACTATTTTCCTATAGAAAAAGTCTTCCTAAGGAAGACTTCCTAAGGAAGACTGTTTTCCTATAGAAAAAGTCTTCCTAAGGAAGACTGTTTTCCTATAGAAAAAGTCTTCCTAAGGAAGACTGTTTTCCTATAGAAAAAGTCTTCCTAAGGAAGACTGTTTTCCTATAGAAAAAGTCTTCCTAAGGAAGACTGTTTTCCTATAGAAAAAGTCTTCCTAAGGAAGACTGTTTTCCTATAGAAAAAGTCTTCCTAAGGAAGACTGTTTTCCTATAGAAAAAGTCTTCCTAAGGAAGACTGCTTTCCTATAGAAAAAGTCTTCCTAAGGAAGACTGCTTTCCTATAGAAAAGGTCTTCCTAAGGAAGACTGTTTTCCTATAGAAAAAGTCTTCCTAAGGAAGACTGTTTTCCTATAGAAAAAGTCTTCCTAAGGAAGACTGTTTTCCTATAGAAAAAGTCTTCCTAAGGAAGACTGTTTTCCTATAGAAAAAGTCTTCCTAAGGAAGACTGTCTTCCTAAGAAAGACTATTCTTCCTAAGAAAGACTAGTCTTCCTGAGAATGACTATTTTCCCACAGGAAGACTGTTTTCCTATAGAAAAAGTCTCTTAAGACTGTTTTCCTATAGTAAAAGTCTTCCTAAGGAAGACGTTTTCTTAGAGAAAAATTGTTGCTAAGGAAAACTGTTTTCCTATAGAAAAAGTCTTCCTAAGGAAGACTGTTTTCATATAGAAAAAGTCTTCCTAAGAAAGACATTTTTCCTATAGAAAAAGTCTTCCTAAGGAAGACTGTTTTCCTATAGAAAAAGTCTTCCTAAGAAAGACTATTTTCCTATAGAAAAAGTCTTCCTAAGGAAGACTGTTTTCCTATAGAAAAAGTCTTCCTAAGGAAGACTGTTTTCCTATAGAAAAAGTCTTCCTAAGGAAGACTGTTTTCCTATAGAAAAAGTCTTCCTAAGGAAGACTGTTTTCCTATAGAAAAAGTCTTCCTAAGGAAGACTGTTTTCCTATAGAAAAAGTCTTCCTAAGGAAGACTGTTTTCCTATAGAAAAAGTCTTCCTAAAGAAGACTGTTTTCCTATAGAAAAAGTCTTCCTAAGGAAGACTGTTTTCCTATAGAAAAAGTCTTCCTAAGGAAGACTGTTTTCCTATAGAAAAAGTCTTCCTAAGGAAGACTGTCTTCCTAAGAAAGACTATTTTTCTTCTTAAGGAAGACTGTTTTCCTATTAAAAAAGTATTCCTAAGGAAAAAGGGAAAAAGAAGACAATTTGCATACAGAAAAGTCTACTATTTTCTTATAAGAAAGAAAAAAATCGTCCATAGGAAGACTATCCTTCTAAAGAAGACTGTTTTCATATGAAAAAAGTTCCTTAGGAAGACTGCTTTGACACAGGAAAATACCTCTTATTTAGTGTAGGAAAAGTCTCTCTGAGAAAAGCGTTTCTCCTATTTCTAAATTATTTAATTTTCTAAGAAAATATTTATACCCTTGATTTATACTTTTGCAAAATCTTAACAAATTTCCAAAAAAAAAAGACCTAATTAAACAAACTCCGTTAGAATGGCCATTATACCTTTAAGCATTTTCCAAACAATTACATCTTAATTATCATTACCTTATCTTGAAATAACAGAAAACATCTCCAAAACTCTTAAACAATTCAAGTGATTTATGGTTACAACTTAATATAAAATAACAAGATGTACTTGTTTTCTGGAAAATATAAAAATCGAAAAACACACACAACATCTGTAGCAATTTAAAATTGTGTCAATCTTTGTTATTGATATGAAATCTAAGACATGCATGTAACACGTATTAAATGTCAAAACATGTCAAAAAATCTTAAACTTGTATATATAACCTTATAGTACGTACAGCTAGTAGTACATAATAGATCTATGAAATAAATATAATAATTTTTGTTTTCATTTTGTTACTTGTTGTGTTAGTAAAGGAAATTCATCATGATGTTCCTCATGTACTTACCTATAAAAATCTCTTCACCATCTTGTATTTCCGGTTCGCATTCGGCTTCATCTAAACCATTTAAATAGGTTTCCAGCAAGTAGTTTTTACCCAACTCACGTTCACGTTTACGATGTTTCTCCTCTTCAATCTTGGTAATTTGACGTTCCTTTTCACTGTGAACGTGTTGTTATTTTATTTTTTTCCATTTTTATTGGCAATAGTATGGGTGGTGTATTTGTATGTTTGTATGTGACAATATTTCAATGTATGTCCAAAAGCAGCACAAATTATTGTTGTAAAGCAGAAGACATGGCCCAGAGGCAGCAAGCAGTAAACAAACAAAATACACATTTACATTGTGGCATCGGGAAGGCAGGATGTGAGAGAGAGTAGTGAACGTTATGACAAACCAGAGACAGCAAGAAGAAAATCAAATGAAAACGAAAACAAAAAACGGAAATAAAAGATAAAAAGTTAAGTAAAAACCCAATTAATTATACAAGCAGTTTCTTTTAATTATGACCAACACAATGCTTGTTGTTATTACGATTTGTAAATATATGACTGTGATATCGACCTTGTGAAAAACAAAGTTACTGGGATGTGTAAATAGAGATGAATGGGTGACTGGTATAAATTTAAGTTTGTTATATACATAAAAAGAGCTACTTACTAAAATTAAATTTAAACAAAAATTGATTTTAAGCAAATTTTCACAATTGAAATTGTCTTTTTATAGCAAATTTTCGAAAATTTTCACTTCTTTATTAAAAAATTTATCTTTTTTATAATAAATGTCTCATTTATTACTTTTTTAAGTCTCACTTTTATAGAAAAGTTTTTGAAAATTCATCATTTAATGGAATATTTCCAACATAAGTATTTAACTTTTTATAGAAAAATGTTACAAAATATCTCTTTTTATAAAAATTTCACTTAAAAACCCTTTTTTAACAAAATTTTAATTTTATAATGTTTACCAAATTTCTTATTTTTACAAATTTTTTCTTCTTTTTAGAATATATATCCAAAATTTCTCTTTTTATAGAAAACTTTTCGAAATATTTATATTTTAAGAAAATTTCTCTTTGACAAAAAATTTTGGAAAAAGTTCTCTCTACATAGAATATTTTGTCCTTAAATTCCTCAAAAGGAACATTTTTTGAGAGAACTTTACAAAAAAATTTCACTTTTTTGGAGAATTTTCAGAAAAATTATCTTTTTATAGAAAATCTTCTAAAAAATTATTTTTTAATAGAAAATCTTTTGAAAAATTAAATTTTTATAGAAAATTTGCAAAAAAAATTGCTTTATATGGAACATTTCTTAAAAAATTCCCTATCGAAAATTTAGAAATATTTTCTTTTTATTGAAAATTTCTCTTTTTACAGAAAATTCTCTTTTTGTAGAAATTTTTTTGAAAAATTCTCATTTTGTAGAAAATTTTCTAAATTTTTTTTTATAGAAAATTTTCTGAAAAATTCTCTTTGTATAGGAAATTTTCTGAAAAATTCTTTTTGTAGAAAATTTTCTGAAAAGTTCTCGTTTTGTAGAAAATTTTTTGAAAAATTCTCTTTTTATAGAAAATTTTCTGATAAATTCTCTTTTTATATAAAATTTCCTGAAAAATTCTCTTTTATAGCAAATTTTCTGCATGATTCTCTTTTTCATAGAAAATTTTCTGAAAAAATCTCTTTTTATATAAAATTTTCTTAAAAATTCTCTTTATAAGTAAATTTTCTGGAAAATTCTCTTTTTATAGAAAATTTTCTGAAAAATGCTCTTTTTATAGAAAATTTTCTGAAAAATTCTCTTTTTATAGAAAATTTTCTGAAAAATTCTCTTTTTATAGAAAATTTTCTGAAAAATTCTCTTTTTATAGAAAATTTTCTGAAAAATTCTCTTTTTATAGAAAATTTTCTGAAAAATTCTCTTTTTATAGAAAATTTTCTGAAAAATTCTCTTTTTATAGAAAATTTTCTGAAAAATTCTCGTTTTAAAGAAAATTTTTTAAAAAATTCTCGTTTTGTAGAAAATTTTCTGAAAAATTCTAATTTTGTAGAAAATGTTCCAAAGTTCTCTTTTTATGTAAAATTTCTGAAAAATTCACTTTTTAAAGAAAATTTTCTGAAAAATTCACTTTCTCTAAAAAGTTTCCAAAAAATTATATTTTTATAGAAAAGTTTCCTAAGAATTATTGTTTTTTTATAGAAACTTTTCTAAAAAATGGAAAATTTTAGATATTAATAAAATATTTGGAAAAATCTCATTTTAAAATTTTAAACTTTAAAACGAATAGCTTTTTGTAAACGTTTTTGGTAAAATTTCAGTTTTTATAAATTTTTTAAAATTATCTCTTTCAAAAATGTTTTTCTTTTAAAACAAAATTTTCCAAAAGTTCTCATAATAAAGAAATTTCATACTTATAATAAAATGAAGTCACTCGTCCATCTCTATATAAAATAGCACTATTATAGGACACACAATAATATCCCAGTAGAATGCGTATTTGTATTAATGTATGATGAAATTTTTGTATGTCATTTAAAATAAATTTATGTTTCGTTTCTATATGAATGTGTCCATGTATTTATTTATGTGAATGTTTATGTGCGATAAACATGTATAATAGGGTGAGTTTTTATAAAATCGAAATTTTAAAATCATGTAAAAGAAAAATCTTTAAATTAAAGGCTTGATTCTTTTTCAAGTTTTAAAAATACTTTCTATTTTAAAAAAATTTTCGAAAATTATCATTCAAAAACATACCCCCTAATATTTAACCATATTTGCTATTTATAAATACTTTAATCAAAAAGATACCTACCGTAACAGAGACAATTGCCGCTGTATGGTCTCATCCTGAGCTAAAATTATTTTCATCAGACGCTCATTGCCCATTGTACAGCGTGATAATTTCGGATGCAGAGTATTGGCCTGTGCCAGCCATTGTGATGATTTATGCTTGCGACGGCGAAATTTAGCACTACGTGCACTGCCCACCGGACTACCCATGCCGCTGTCCTTGTCGGTGGAGATTAATGATGACAACTGTGGCGTTGTATTATTGATGTACACGGCTGGTGCGGGACCCAAATGACGTAACAACAATTCACACTGTGGTTTAAATATAATTAAGGAAACAACAAGAATGAAATGAAAAGTAAATAAGAATAACAAAACAAATCAAAAAAATACAACAGCAAAGAAGTGATAAAAAACATTAAACAGGATATTAGTACTTTCAGTTTTTTCTGTATAAAAGGATTTTTTTTATTTTCACACAAACTTTCATAAACGTGCATATTGCGTGACTTGTCTTAATTCATTGCTATTTATATGTTTCACCCATATTTCGTTTATAATGTTGAGGTTTCAGTTGCCTTTTTTTGTTCGTTTTCTTTTTAATCATTTCGTATTGCCGAACATCAGTCAAAGTAAAAGAGGCAAAGTGGGTTTAATTCAGTTGAAATTAAGTTTTTATGCTTTTCACTTAATAATGTAGTAGCTGCTTAGAGCAATGTGGTGATGTAGTGATCTTATGAAGAAAAAGTTACCAAGATTTCTTTTTACATATTTAAGTAATATAAATTATCGTTATAAATAAAAGGCAAGTAAGGGATGTATTCATATGTTTATGTATGTTTTTGCGAAGCCAAAAATGAGTTGTTATGAGGTCATTGAACTAGGCCAAGTATAAAACGTTTTGTGCTAACCTTGTTAATTAAATTATATGTAGTAAATTTATTTTACTTAGTTTGTCATAAAACTGGTAATGGTATATTGAGATAAAGGGAAAATTAATAACGCAAATTAAGAAAATTTAACTGGTGTTAAAACTATCTTAGGGCAAGAGAGTAAAAAAAAAATCCAAATTTTCGAACATTTAAAATTTGATTTGACATGGGATCTAACCAGAGAACCACATAATCTGTGTGGCCACTTGCCCGCAGCACTTGTCCTGTCTGCTCAGTTGGTTGAAGTTCCATCGAGATCCACGCTGTGGCTGTGGTTTAAACCCAAATTTACCGTAAGAGTAAGTTGCGGTAAAAAGACTGATGCACGGTGAAATCTATAAGTTCGGTGCTGATCCCGAATGACAACAGATACCCCACATAGGAGTGACTGTGGGACTAAGCGTTGGAAATGAGTTGGTGTTAATTGTATATGATACAGAAAGAATGTACGGGTATACGGACCTTGCCAACCCGTATGCCTAGAGTAAGTGTGTCGGATGTTGTTCTCTATTGAGTGTGTCGGATGAATGAGAAGTGTGTTGGGTTGAATAGAGATGGATGAAAGGTATCTTATACATACAAGTGATACAATTAAATTTTTCTTCCTTGTTCAGGTATGTTCAGGGTAAACTCTGTTCATACCACATTTACCACAGTGTGTCACAGGGACTAAGACAAGAGTCGCGGCTTATTTAATGGATTCGAACTTCGGTCTACCTGCCTCTGTTGCTGATACAACAGAGGCCATACCACCTGCGTGGCTGTAAACGGATGTGATGTTTTTGCATCTCGGAAGTTAAGCAACGGGGCAGCAATGGTCAGAGATTAGATAGCTCAAGTACTTGAGCAAAGTGCACGTACATATACTTAAATATACGATATACTTAAATTGACACCTGGGTGTAAGAAGCACAATGGGGCGGTGGTGAGGCATCACAAAAGGTCACCTAGTGGCTAAAAAAACCATCATGAAATAGGCCAATTAACTAATTTGTGGGCAAACCCTGACCTTAACGTAAACCTATGTTAACTTGATGAAATACCCCATCATGTTGTGATTGCTATCCCGAGTAGTAGGATGTTTGGCAAAACTAGGTGAGAGGTTGGCGGAGTTGTTAATATCCTAATTTCTAATTTATCGGCGATTTTCCTTTATAGTTAAGTGTGTTAGAGTTTGCTCTAAAACATGCTCAACTTATCACAGTAGGTCCTTGTGGTCACTGAAATAAGTCTTGTCAATTAAAAATGAATCCTGACTACCAATTTGTTGTCCCTAGGTGCTTTTGCCGAAACAACAGAACGATCAAAGTAGTGTGGTTGGGCGAGATGTCGTTAGGGACAGCGCATTCCTCATAGCATCAATAGGATGTTTCACCTGATGTTGGGTCTGCCCCTTCTATCTCTAGCCACTGATTGCCTGTGTCGGGGTTAGATTGAGCTTGACTAATGATAACTGTCATTCCTCAACAGAGCTACTAAGGCAAGAGATTAGATAGCTCGAGTACTTGTAGTACATTAGAATGAACAAAATTTTAATTTCTGGAAGGAACATCAGCAAATTTTGGGGCAACACTAATGTACATATACATACATACATATGTATATAGAAAAGATCCTATATACATATATAAACTTTTCATTTATTCAACGAAGATTCGTTTTACTCATTATTAAAAAGAAGAAAACCACAACAACGCATCGATAAAAACTTTAATTTAACACACAGAAAACAATAATTTTCAATAAATAACATAAAATACCATTACAAAAATACTTACTTAACACTCGCAAAAACATTGCAAAGTTCTTGTGAATACTAGTAGCAAAAAACAACATAATTGAAACAATTATTTTACATTGAAGTTTCAACATCAGTCATTTTGTAGCAAATATGTATAAATGAACGTCAAGTACTTAAATGAGCAAGTGAACGAACATACACAGAATGAAATGTAATCATAAAAAAACAAACTGATTTAAATACTTTGCGTGACCTGTCTGCAGCCACTTAAGTACTCGTATCTTCAAAATACCAAAAGTTGCATACATCCAAACCACAGCACACACACACACATACATACTCTTATAAAGAGTTTTTGAATAAGGGTACAAGTACATATTTGTAGTTGCTGTCAAAAATACCCAACATTTTACACATGCAATATACTTATATATCCTCTACATACAGACAAGTTCATGAATGCATGAGTGTATACAGACAATACAATATTCTGTTTAAATTTGTGCATGAGTAGTATGTGTGTAATAAGGATAATGAAATGTTCAACAATGCAAGACAAGTTAAAGTAAAAAAAGGAAAAGTTTTAAAATACTTTTTTTGTAGAAAGTATTACAAAGCAACCAAAAGTTTTTTAAGTTTTTTTTAACAAAATATGGAACATTTTCTTATATTATTTAAAAAAAGAAATATTAAGTAACACATATATAGGTTAGACGTAGTATATTTCTGTGTACTTGAAAGTTTTGTCCTCCCCAAAATTGTGGATGAAGTTTTTATGTTTTACAGCGTTTTCTTTTTGTTCAAGCAATTTTCTTAAAGATGGAAAATAAATTAAATGACGTTTTTAAATTACTTTTCAATGTGGGTTTACCAAGCGGAAAGAAGTCATTTTGTACGTATGTATGTACGTTCATTCATATTTAGTTATTGTCAGTTTTTATTAAGAAAGTTTATTGTTATAGTTTATGACATTTTAAATAAATGTTTTTTTAAGAATTTAAAGAAAAAGTTTAGGAAATAAATATTTTACAGTTTAATCCATTGAGGTTATTATACTATAACACTGGATACAATTTTAAATTTTTTTATTGGACTTGAACGAGACCATATACACATGATACTAAAGGTCATTTAAATTGCAACTGCGTTTTCTGTTTTAAATTGTTTGATATTTTTAAAGGACTTTAAAGTTGTAAGGATATTAACATTTTTTTAAATATATTTACTGAATAATTTTCGTCTAGTATCATGGGTATATGATCTCGTTCAGGTTCAATAATTACTGTCGCACGGTGTAATAATAAATTAAATATTTTGAAATAAATGATTGGAAATTATTAGATATGACCATTTCCCATCATTCGGGTAACATATGGATTACGCGGCAAAAAAAAACTGCTCATCTTTTGAAGACAAGAACCCTCTCATGTTTGTCAAAATATTGTGGGTGTTTTTAGGTCAATGATCGGTTCAAACGAATCCGTACAGACAGGATTAGGGGGTAATGATTACACAAAGTTATTCTTTACATGGTGAATTCCAATTACTTGTAATGTGTATTTGGCAAATAACCCATTACAATTACTTGTAGTTTTAATTGAATGTGTAATTGAGCAATAACCAATTACAATTAATTGTAATTAAAGTTTTGTCAATTTCAGGCTTGGGGGTAATGGTTAAACAAAGTAATTCATTACATGGTCAATTACAATTATTTGTAATATGTAATTGGGAATAACCAATTACAATTACTTGTAGTTGTAATTGAAGGTTTCCAAATTACAATTACTTGTAACCAATTAGAATTAATTGTAATTGAAGTTTCGTCAAATAAAATAAATTGCAATAAAAGTTTTGTCAATTATAATTACTTGTAATTGAAGTTTACCAATTACAATTACTTCTAATTGTAATTCAGCTATTACTAGTTACAAATTACATGTAATTATAAGGAAAAATAGTTCACAATTACAAGTTATTGTAATTGGAAATTATTCAATTACAATTACAAGTAATTACAAGTACTTGGCAAAACTTCAATTGCAATTGAAAGTAATTGTTATTGTCAAAACTTCAATTACACATTACAAGCAATTGCAATTGGGAAAACTTGAATTGCAAGTAATTGTACAATTACTTCAAAAATATCACAATTACAAGTAATTGTAATTGAAAATTATTCAATTACAATTACAAGTAATTACAAGTACTTGGCAAAACTTCAATTTAAATTAAAAGTACACATTACAAGTTATTGCAATTGGTAAAACTTGAATTGCAAGTAATTGTACAATTACTTCAAATGTAATTGTAATTAAAATATAATCATTACCCCCAAGCCTGCCTATAATCTGTACTAGACACTTTATATAGAAATCTTATTTTATAGAGAATTTTTCATTACAACTATGTAAGACATTACATTGTAAGCTTTTTTACTTAAACATCCTAAATACTTAAATAGTTTAATAGATTTTCTCATTCCTTATTGAAAACTTTTCATTTTACTATAAATTCTTAATCTTTTGACCACACCTTTCCTTTAAAGTAAATTACTACGTAATATTCAAGACAACTTTTTAAACTATCAATGCAAACATTATCTAACATAAAATATACATCAATTTAAAACCACAAACTACTTGAAAAGTTTCTTCAAAAATTTTCGAAAAATACTTAACATTAAGAGACAATCAATACTTTAGAAACTTTATAAATGTTTAGATGAACATTTTGATTGTATTATATGGTTGGTAACATTAAAATATAGAATTTATATTATGTATTTATGTAAATTGAAAATGTATCTTCAAAACTAATAGTTTCTGCAGTCAAAGGAATGGGAATTTTATGACTCTGACCATGGTTCAATTTCTTTAAGAAAATTGCTTTCATTAACTCAGTCTTTAAATTGGTTCCAAACTGAGAAAAGAACTAGTTCCACAACTGTTCTAAAGAAGTTGTATAAGTTGTCTAAAGCTTCCCTAGAACTGAATAGGATGGAGAATGACAAATTCTAACAACAATCATAGATTAAACAACAGATCTACGGGTCCATAATGTTTCCCCAGAACCAGTACCGAATGTGACAATTTCGAACAAAAATATTGGTCCCAAGCTAAAAGTAGATCGAGGAAAGGTTATAATCAAGCATTCTAGAACTGAATGTGATGTTAAAAAGAATACAAAATATGGTCGAATACGATTAAGAATCGAAGTGATAAAAAGACAAACAAAAATTACTAAAATTGTGAGTCCCATTAACACCTGTAAATAGAGTAAACATTTTGAAACAATCCACACTAATTTACTAACTTAAGCTTAAACAACTAAAACCAACTGTAACCATTGACAACAGTCAATTGTCAGTCTGCCAATACTTGCATTCATATGTACATATAGTATGTAGGTATATGCACCTACAGGCAACAACCAACTAACTCCAACAATAAAACAGTTAGTCAACATAAGTTATTAGACCCTGCTCACTTACCTCCTTTTTATGCGAACCATCACGTCGTGGCATAACATCAAAAACTTTTGTACTACCATCAAGATATTCCTCACAGTGATGATACTGTTTAACGATGACATACTCGGTGGCAAGTTGCGAAACGGTTGTGATGCCAGGTGGCAATGTTAGAGGTAAAAGTGTAGGTGGCGGTGGTGTCATAACAGGAACAGGTGCAGATGATGATATAATCGGTGTGGCTGATAATGTAGCTTCTGCAGGCGTCGTTGCTGCTGCTAAAGTTGAGTTTGGGATTATTTTGCAATTTTCTTTGGTATTTATTGGCATTGATTGATTAATAGTCGTGGTAATGGTGTTGTTGGTAGTGGTATTGGGATTTGTAGTGTTGTTGGTATTAGCTGTATTTGGAATATTTGGTTTATTGCCTGTGCATTGCATATTGCTATTGTCCTCATTTGTACTCTTACTAAAACTAAAATCTATAACATTTGTATCATATGCTTTTGGTGGTTGCTGCTGTTGTCGTTGATGTTGCTGTTGCATTATATGCTTTTCACATTGATTGCTATTTGTTTTGTTAATCACAGATGTAGCAATATTTTCCCCATTTTCCAATGGCATTGACGCAAACGCATGTTGGTGTTGCTGAAGCTGTTGCGTTTGCTGCTGACTGGTGTGTTGTCCGTTTTGATAATTGAGCAGTGCCCAGATTAGATCCGAACAGGTTGTATTCGCATCAACACCTGCCACCCAATGTTTTTCACCATCTATCCATATTGAGACATTATCCGAAAGGGTTTCCATTGATGCAAACGAATCATCATCATCCTCATCATCATCGTCATCTATCGCACCCATATTATTGTCTACGACAGCCTTGCTATCAACCTTTTCATCATTGGCAATATGTTGTGTATTAGTTTTTGCCACACAACGTTTGCTGTCATAAATTGTTGTTGGTTGTTGCTTGGAAAAATGCATATTTGCATTCATGAAAAATTTTTGAGGTACACTATATATTGGATGCTGTTCCCCCTTAACCTCAACATTATCATTGTCATCATTTTCTATATCTACGATAATAATATCACACTCATTATTCGTATTATTGTTAAGAGTTTGTTGCTGTTTCTGTTGTTGGTCCTTTACAATATCACTACGCGTTGTTGACCATACATTTCTATTGACTACATTTTCTTTATTATTGTTGTTGCCGTTGTTATTATTGGCATTATTGTAATATTGTTGTTGTTGATGATGATGGAAAATTTTATTATTATTTGTATTACTGGCACCATCAATAATTTCACTATACCAAACGCCATGACCATATGTAGTTTGAACTATCCCACCCCTACTGTTGTTGTTATTATTCGCTGTTGCAACATCACGAGCCTCATCACCATCATTGTGTCTGTTGTCCACAATTGCCGCTGTTGTCGTTGCTTTAAAGGCCGTGTCTGTTTTTGCAGATTTATTAGTTTCACAAATATTATTGATCATTATTATAATCAAGTACAATTGTATATTCAAGTGCCAGTGTAAATGTTGACAACACTTTTGTATCAAAAATTTAAATGTTTATCTTTTCTTGCATCACTTGAAGCTAGATTTGTTTGTAAAATTGTTGCTGCTTTCGTTGTTATTGCTTTTAATCCCATTTGTATTGTTAAGATTTTAATTGGATTTTCCGAATAATGTTTGTCAAGTTGGCTGTTGTAAACTGTAATGAAAAGATTGATTATAATTAGAAATTAGGTTAGTAAAATATCAAGATTTTTCAGTAATGATTTGAATATAAATTTTAAAAGATATACCGCCCTATTCATAATGTTTATACCCCACACCACTAGAAAAATGAAAACGAAAAACTCTAGTGGGGAGGGTTTGTGCTGATATTTGTAACACCCAAAAATATTGGTCCCACACCCATCTTAAAGTATACTAATCGGCTCAGAATCACTTTCTGAGTCGATTTAGCTATGTCCGTCCGTCCGTCTGTGTGTCCATGTAAACTTTGTACGCACTCTACAGGTCGCAATTTTTAAGATAATTAAATGAAATTTAGCACATACTCTTCTTTTGACCCAAGTACAAAGCCTTTTGAAATGGTTAAAATCGGTACATTATATCGTATAGCTCCCATACAACTGTACATTTGAGCTCATAAATATGTTAAATGTTCTTGTATCACTCCAAAAATAGTCAAAATTTTGTTTTATATAAGACTTAATGATGTTGATGATTTTCGTAACGATCGGGACTCATTTGACCCTATCCCCATACTAAGTCCCCTTCAGAAAATGACTTGATGGTCAAAATTCACTTATATCACGATGATATTCTGCATAAATAACTGATGTAGGCGTAAATCTCTCTTCCAAAATTTATAAGGATATGTCCATATTAACCCCTCTTTTAGAAAATCCCTTTTTTGTCAACAAATAGTTAAAATATTTCTAAATTAAGGTAAAAATGAAAATAAATACTTTATTATAAAAATAATAATCAAAATTTGTAACACTCGTGAAGGGTATCATATGGTCGGCCATGTCCGACTATAAATTCTTACTTGTTTTTTTTTTTTAATTCCTCTTTTATAAAACATTTTCAAAAATTTTTTTACAGAAAATTTATCAAATATTCTCGTTTTAAACAAAATTTTCGAAAAATTCAATCTTAATAGAAAATTTTCAAATATCCCTTTTTGTAGAAAATTTTCAAATTTCTATATAAAATTTCCAAAAAAAAAAAATTTTTTTTTTTGAAAATTTTCTAAAAAATTATCTTTTTATTGAATATTTTTAGAAATTTATTATGGTATACATAGAAATGTTTTACTGAAAGTCAACCAAATAAATGGTCATCATTAAATCGATTGTTATAACAACAACATAACAAAACCTTATGTTCTTCACACCTAAATATTATTATGTGGGTACTTATATAAAAATGCATATTAAATACTACACTTAAGGTCCCTTCCTCTGACATTTATTATTGAACTACACGCAATCAAAATTTTCACATAAACTACTCTACTATAGTATATAAGTTTCAGTATTCAAAACAGCACACCAAATATTATAAGATATAAGATACGACTACAAATATTCAAACTTCACAATTTGTACTCGCACTACAAAAAAAACTGAAAGAAAGTAACGTTCGCCCTCTTCTAAACTGTATTTAACTTGTTGCCACTTTATGTACAAAAATATCTTGTAGTAGCTGTTTTCCTTTTTGCGCAAAATATTTATAACATCTGTTGAATTTTTAAAGATATTATCTGAAAAACAAAAGCAAAAAAAAAACAAATAATAAAAACTTTAAGTTTATTAAAGTTTATAGTTATGCTTATAAACTCCCAAAACAAATTTGCGGAAATATAAGACAACTTTTTTTTCTTGTTGCAAAAAGCAACAAAAAACAACTAAATATACAAAATATTGCAGCTTATTTTTAAACACATTCCCTTTAACTAACAAAATATACATACATATGTATGTAACAGAAAACAGCACAGTGTATTTTTTGATATGTTTAAATGTTTGTGCTCTTAAATTGTATGTATTTGGAGCACTGTGTGAGAAACAGAAACCATTTAAACGCTCGAATAACTATGCGTTATACGAAAAAAATACAACAATTTTTTGGGGTTTGGTGGTTGAATGTTTTATAAGTCGAAATAAAATAATAAAGGTACCTTTTTTACCTATATATTCACGTAGTAAGTAAGTACATATACATACATACATATGGAAGCATTATATATTTTTGAATACACCGTGTCAGGACAATAGTGTTTAAAGTTTTTTAAGCAATATACAGAGCATTTTTGATAAATATACCTTTTAATAGAAAATTTTCTCAAAATTTCTGTTTTTAGAGACAATTTTCCAAAAATTCTATATTTAAAGAAAATTTTTGAAAAAAATTTCACTTGAAACCACTGTAGTGGGGATTTAGATTTTTATACCCTAAACCACTGTAGTTTGTGCTGATGTTTGCAACGCACAAAACTTCACCCACCTTAAAGTATACCAATCAGTTCAGAATCACATTCTGAATCGATTAAGACATTTTCCGTCCGTCCATTCGTCTGTCCGAATGGCTAACTGTCCATATAAACCTTGTGTACAAGCTACAGGCCGCAAATTTTCAAGATATTTTGATAAAATTTTAACCTTACGTGTTTTTTGGACAATGCTTATTTCACCTAGCCCCCATACAACCGGACCTTCCGTTTTGGGGTTTTTAACTCATATATACACCAAATAAACTACTTTCTCTACAAAAAATGGTACAACTGAGTTTTATATAGGCATAAATGACCATGCTGTTTTTGTAATGATCTACCCTAGCCTCCATACAAACCCCCCTTTAAAAAATATTATAACGTCCAAAATTGACTTATAACCATTTCTGTCGCAATGAAATTCAGCATAACTAACCTTTATATAAAAGTACATCCCCATATTTGGCCCTAAATCTCATATAAAGCCTCTTTTAGAAATGTTGTTTTTCACCAATAAATTCCTGAAGTACATCGGAATTAAGGTAAAATTCATCATAAAATATTCATCTGAGACCCAACAAAATATATATTCTCTGTCCTTATCAAATTGTTTGTCGATTTAGCTATGTCCGTCTGTCTGTCTGCCTAAACCACGCTCACGTTAAAACTATGCAAAATAAATAAACCAAATTCATTATTGTCCTAAGCAGTTTAGTATTGAAAATCAGCATAATCGGTTCACAACGTAAAAAGTTATGAGTAAAAATTTCAGATTATCTCGAAAAAAATTACGTTTTTTTTTCTAATTCTCAGAAACTACCGAAGATGAATTCTGTCACACGTTATTTATTTTGCCCAAGGATCAATTATAATCAAACTCAAAACAACCGGTCCAAATTTTCCCATAGCCCCATACAAAGGTCCATATTATTGAATATAGGTCATCATAGCTCCAATATAAGGTTCTCTTCTGAAAACCACTTAAAAGCATACAACTTTTATTAAGAAATAAAGCTATTGGATTAATATTCGACATAAATATGTATATGACTATGTTTAAAGTAGATATGAACCATCCTGAGAAATATTTTCCGGATCAGTCCATAATTGGTCATAGCTGCCATATAAGATCCACTTCCAAAAATCGCATATTTTATTGATAAATAAAGATACCGGACTAAAATTCCTCATAAATAAGTTTTTGATATATACAAATCAATCCTAAATGTTTTCTGGATGGGTCCATAATTTGTCTGGTCTCCGATATACGGTCCACTTCCAAAAATTACTTAGCCGAACATATTTCATTGACAAAAAGAGTTATCGCTATAAAAATTGACATGAGTATTTTTCATTCTGAAAAATATATGGATCAGTCCATAATTGGTCAAAGCTATCATATAAGATCCATTTCCTTAAGCCACTTCACCAAATATATTTCATTAACATACAAGTATATATGGACAAAATCCGATATAGTATAGTTTGTGTATCGATAAATCATTTGGCGAAATTTTTTTCGGATTGGCCATATTTTCTATAACTGGTATATAAACTTGTTATAGACTTGATCAAAATTAGCTACATAGGTTTATAAAGCAACTGCTAATGAAATTTATAAAAACTCTGAAACTGTTTAGATGGGGTTCAAAAAGCTTACAGGTGTAGGTGAAAATGAGCTATATCGGTTCCCGATTTCACCCACAATAATGATCCCCGAAATACAGAAATCGTGCTAAAATTTTGTAAATGTTATCTTATGTACTCAGAAATTATACTATGAGATATTACGGACATCGAACTATAACTGACCCTACCCCTGATATAAGGTCACCTTCAAATAATGACGCTCATAACTGACTCATTAATATCACTATAGTGACGAAGCTCATAGATTTACAAGAACAAAAATTTCTCTAACAAATCTGATTAGGATCGGTTAATAATTGACCCTACCCTCTATAAGGTCCCCTTCATAAAATTAACACAAAGAAGTTATAAAAACAAAAATCTCTTTACCAAATATGATAAGTATCGGTCCATAATCTCTTTTTATAGAAAATTTTTAAACATTTTCTCTCTTTTTAGAAAATTTTTGTAAAATGTTTCTTTTAAAAAATATGTTCTCTATAATTCTCTATTTTTAGGAAATTTCTATTTTGTTTGTAATTTGACTTGAAAATATATTAATCGTACCGCTAGTTTTTTTTTGGAAACTTACCAAACCAAAAAATAAAACCCTTTTATATATATTAAATCATATACATATATATAAAATTCTCAAAAAATATCTACTGCAAAGTACCTCTATAGTAAAAAGTGAAAAGAATAACAAGCAAGGTAAGATGAGTTTTTTTTTAACACTAACATAAGAGAGTGGGAGTTATATAAAAAGGAGGGAGTCGTAACACGTTAGTACATTTAGCTAATGGCTGAAATAATATTTAAACAACGATGTACTCCATGGTTATTGGATGACTGTTTGGTTGGCTGATTCGTGGCTCTATACTCCGTGGTTTGGTTTGTTAGTATGTAGTTTCTTAACAGTAGTATGACTACCTAATACTTAAATTGAAATCGTAAGTTAAAACACAGAACCTAATAACAGAATGAATGTCTGCTACTAGTATGGCTATATATGTAAGTGAGTGAATGAAAGCCTGAATAACTAAATGAATGAACGAGTGAACGTAAGACAGAAAACA